TGTCTCCCCCAGTCCTTCTTTTCATTGAACTAGACATACCCAGTTCCTGCAACCGTTCTTCATATGTATTAGCCTCCAGTGTCCCCTAATCATCTTTGTTGCTCTTCTCTGCACTCTTTCTAGAGTCTCCACATCTTTTTTACATCATGGCAACCAAAACTGAATGCAGTATTCCAAGTGTGGCCTTACCAAGGCCTTATAAAGTGGTATTAACACTTTGCGTGATCTTGATTCTATCTTGATGGATCAATGGAAGCAATAAGGGAAAAGGATAAGCAGCCATTCAAATTCACTTACCTTCTTTTTTACCTGACAAGCTCGTGTTTTCAGGGGTGCTCACAGGGAAGATTATGGAAGAGGGCAATAGGCCCTCTCTTTGGAATTGCTTCTGCAGTTTCTTCAGCTGGTGTGCCATTTTCTTCTCTAGCATGACTTGTTTCTAAGTAGACCAAGAGGGAACCCAATAATTATTCAAAGTCTCTCCCAAGAGCTCTAAGAAAAGGCCCAATGGCTAACAGAAGGGAAATAAGAATAATGGAAATGAACAGGGAGAACCCGAGATCCAACTCAGGAGACAAATCTGATGTGATAAGCATCACCGAGAAAATTCAGAAATAAGAGCACGGAAAGCCTCTTGAAAGAACTTGAGTTATTAAAAAAAATAGAGAGGAACAGAACCTAATATTGTGGAAAGAGTTCATTACAGACCACCCAAGCTGGCTGAAGACACAAATGTGGCTTTTCTGTAACTGATGACCAGGCTTTCAAAGAGATATACAATAGGCATAATAGGGGATTTAAATTATCTTGATATTTGCCAGGAATCTGCTAAGAATCAGAGGGCCAACAAATTGTTGTCTTATCTCATAAGCAACTCCCAAGAGCAAGGGTCTCCAACCTTGGCAACTTTACGACTTGTGGACTTCAACTCCCAGAATTCCTTAGCCAGCATGCGTTGGCTGAGGAATTCTGGGAGTTGAAGTCCACAAGTCATAAAGTTGCCAAGGTTGGAGACCCCCTGCCCTAGAGGAGCATATGGCAGGAACTATTAATTTACCTGACCTTTCCAACTCAGGTTCCCTCTCCCCCACCCCACCTCATTCTATAGTAATACATTTTTTTTTCTAACTAGATGCAGAACTTTACATTTCTCTCTGTTAAATTCCACCCTATTCATTTCAGCCCACTGCTCAAATTTGTCTAGATCTGTAGGAGAAGGAAGGCAAAACCTGCAGAGGGGGGGGGCAGAGTTAAAAGAAGGATCAGCCTAGAATCCCCACACAGTCAAAAGCGAACTAAATCCCACCCCCTGTTGAATTCCATTGACCCATATCTAACCCCAAGCAGGAGTTAACCATTAGTAGAGCAGATTCTTGTGCATAGGATTCTTCAATAAATTAGTTCAATTGGACCTTCACATGTGGATCTTATCTTTCATGCCTGACAAGATATTTTTAAATCTCTTCTCTAAACAGGAGGATCCATCCTTCCCAGCTTTGTGTCACCTGCAAACATTGTGATTTTGAAAACTGGTGGCAATTAGAGGGAAGAATATGCAGTTAAAGGTAAAGGTTCCCCTTGCACATATGTGCTCATCTCTGTTTCAAAGCCGAAGAGCCAGTGCTGTCCGAAGACGTCTCCGTGGACATCTGTCCGGCAGGACTAAACGCCAAAGGAGCACGGAACGCTGTTACCTTCCCAACAAAGGTGGTTCCTATTTTTCTACTTGCATTTTTACATGCTTTCGAACTGCTAGGTTAGCAGAAGCTGGGACGAGTAACTGGAGCTCATTCCATTATGCGGTGCTAGGGATTCGAACGGCCGAAGTGCCAATCTTTCTGATCAACAAGCTCAGCATCTTAGCCATTGAGACACCGCATCCCTGAATACAACATTTGGAGGCCCACATTTATGTCTCTGTGGATGAATAGACTCATTTTAGTTTGATTCAGTTTGCAGAAGGAACATCTTGATTTATACCTGGGAATACCGTAAAAGAACTTGGGTAACATATACCAGGTTAAACAGAATTTGACTCTTAGGAGGCCACATAGCTATTTCAGTTCCATGATGGAATGACACCCTTGTTCCCTGTGGCAACTCACCCGTTTCAGTTTTTCTTCCTTGGTTTTCCGTTGCTGTTCTTCAATCCTCGCTTCTCGTTTAACATCATCACCAATTTTCATTAAAAGTGACATTTCTTTTTTTTTCCATTCCTGAAAACCAAAAATTGAGCTATTGGTTGCTATCTGTCTCTGAGGGTTGCTATCTATTCCAGGATAGTTATTGTTACTGATTTTTGGTATGATTTCAGACAGTTTAGTAATAAACTTACCCACCAGTGCCTATCAGATTTATTGGATTATAAATCCTAGATCAGTGTTTCTCAACCTTGGCCACTTGAAGATGTCCGGACTTCAACTCCCAGAATTCCCCAGCCAGCAT